CTAAAAGAATATTGTATAAATCTTGTTGCTGTTGTGCTTGCTTATGCTATCTCTCAAAAAAGAAAGGGATTTTATTAATCTTGTTTCAGAAATAAAGTACTCAGAAAAGGCAGTATGGTGATTTTTCTACCTAATTTTTAATAATTTTTATGGACCCATATTTTCCCTTCTTAAAAGGAAGTAGGAAATATTTTGGGCTAAAAATGTGATCACATGTAAGATACATTTTATGATGAATTATTTGCCACCTCAGGATGTGTTATGTTCTCTCAAACACAGAGAGGTCTCAGGGAGGCATAGGATAAATAGATATGCTGAAGAAGTAGGTAGTAATGTCCCCAAGGCAGATGGTAGAAGTGGAACAAGTGTTCTTGGGTGAAATCAGAGCACTGTCTCTGGGTACCTGCTGAAGACCCACCATGAGGCTGCAAGTCCGTGTCTTTCAGATGGGATGAGTGGTAGGATTATGCCTGTAGCTGGCTGATTAGAGAGGGAGAGGGAGAAGGATATGTCTGAGTGCAGAAGTATGAGCTTATAAATGGAGGACAAATCTCTTCAGGTGTGTTACAAGAGGCTAGCACTTGGATCTCATTTGACATTCAGCAAGACACTTGGAAACAAGACATTACTAATTTTCTGATGTTAAATTATTGTGTACTGGGTTATTTTTGAACAGGTTTAAATGTACTGTGAAGAATTGTTCTTGGGGGCATTTTTTGTATTTTTTTTTTTTTTTTTTTCCAAAAGTTTTCTTAAGAACTCCTCTAATACATGCTGTTTTCATCTGAGATAGAACCAATTTTCTACTTAGTAGCTGGTTCAGTGCTGCTGTTTGGATTTAACAGGATAGAAACTTGCATATTTAATACTGAAAGAAAAAGAATACGAGCATCTGAGTCCACTGAGGCCATTTCCTTGTTTTTTGTGTTCAAAATAATCTTCCTTTTTTTATTCCAATTTTTTAGTGTGGTTGATATTCTATGACAAGCTGTGTTTTCTTGCTTGGGTGGATTTGACTATAATGACTGATAATTTTTTTTTCAAACCAGGCATAGCTACTGTGAAGTGGCTGCTTCGAGTAGCACCTTCAAACTCAGACGGTCTTCACTTTTCATACATTTTATCATATCTGTTGATTTCTCTTGCTTCTTTTCTTCTTTCGCCTATTTGTATTGTAAAGGCAATGCGTAAATCTTTGCTCATTCTGTCCCATTAAAGCCCATTAAAACACTTCTCTGGTGCGCTGCCTTGGGCTCTTCTTTATACTAGAGAAAGGCAAGTTTCATTTTCAGTAACCACTACAAATGAGCACAGAAAGCTGAATTTTAAGGCTAAACAGTTGCAGGGCTTTCACAGGTATCTGTAATTCTATTTACAGAAAAAAAATAGGTCAAGGACTTGTTTTGACATTCAAAATCTTCCTTGGATGGCACTGACTCTCAAGAAATATGCAGTTTTAGAACAAAGTCACCTTAAAACTGCATTTTTATAGTATTTTTGGTCTCTCTATTTCTCCACTGTTTTCCTCATGCATTAGTTGCTCATAAACTTTGGAAAACACTGAATTGTCACAGTTCAGGTGGTAATTCATCTGCCATGCATCACAGAGCAAGAGGAAGCCTCCCTCTAACGTATCTGTTTCCCGAATTTGTACTTTTCCCATTTGGAGATGTGGGAAAATTAAGAGAGATTAAGACAGTGTTGGAATGTCTGCCTTGGTACTTCTCAGGGATGAAGTGCCAAATTTCTCAAATTTTTCTAAGAGATGGGTGCTATCATTTGCTGAAACTGGTGAGGAATCTGTAACTTTACAGTTGGCTGCTGTGATTGCTTAAAAGGAAAATGAACAAAAAATCCACTACAATCAATGAAGCTTTCAGCTTTATTTAAAACTAGAATTGATTGCACTATGCATTTTTTATTGACCAAGTAAGCTAGTACTAACCCCTTTGGCTCAAGGAAGAGTGTGAACAGCCTCCTCCTCACTTTTGCCTGTGCATTCAACCCATAACTGAGAGGTGAACAAGCAACACCCAGTGTTTCAGCCTGGTCTCCAGCTCTTTCCCTGCAGGGAAGCTGCTCATTGAAGCCCGCATGGGGCAGCTGTGTAGGAAAGATCACATCTGCCATCGGGTAGTGAGACTGTTGCCATTAAGGTTGGAGTATGGTCTAGAACTCTGACCACATGGAGAGGTGCTGCTTTATCCCTTTGTCTGAAGTGCAGAAACAACTGGCTGGATTCTTCAAAAAGCAGAATTCTTTTATGCGCCTGTATTGAGATCTCTCTCAAGTTTTACTGTGTCAAGAATTATTTCATAAAATTGGGTTACCTATTATCTATTTATTTCATTTTTCATCTTTCTTTTCTGGCCATAAGTCTACAGAGGAATTTGATTTGGAAGAAGGAGCTTCCTTGAGGCTTTAATAAGTAAAGTGGAATTTCTTTAGGGAAATTTCCTTCTTGTTTATGAATATGTATGCTTTTGTGGATATGTTGGTATGTGTGTGAGGCAGACGGTAATGGATAGTTCTGCAAACTGCCATGTTTAATTTCCACATACTCATGAATTCTTCATAATCTGAAATTTCTTGAAAAATGTTAAATTGTGTGTTGAAAAGTTTGGGGAAAAACCAGAAAGCTTGCTTTGTTTGGTTCTTAAAGATTTAGAATATCTGTCATAACATAGTCTAACCCTGAAGTACTAAGCTTGCCCTTAAATTTCTGTCCAGGGCCCCCAGAGGTGATTGCACTGTGCGGGAACCTCCAAGTTACACTCCCATCACATTATCTTCTTCCTGAAGTAATCAGTGTGTGTCAGGGGAGAGGAGGTAGTGACAGAAGGCTGTGTGCATCTTTTGTCTCTCATTCTGGGTTCACTGGCTGCTGTCTGCTATGCAAATGGTAATACAAAAGAGAATAGAGGAAGCGGCTTCAGATTTGTATATGAGTCAAAAAAACAGGTGGCTTTCAGATGCTGGTAAATGTAAATATAGATATGGTTGTTTCTCTGTTTTTAGGAATACACTATAGATATAATTTTTGCCCAGACTTGGTATGACAGTCGTCTAAAATTTAACAGCTCAATGAAGGTGCTCATGCTTAATAGCAATATGGTTGGAAAAATCTGGATTCCAGACACTTTCTTCCGGAACTCAAGGAAATCTGATGCTCACTGGATTACAACTCCAAATCGTTTGCTTCGAATCTGGAGTGATGGAAGAGTATTATACACTCTAAGGTGGGTTTTTATTATTTGGGTAGAAAAATATCCAAAACTGTGCTATGAACAAGAATATGAAAATAATGAATATGAATCAAATTCCTGGCCTGTCTTTTGTTATGGACCATAGGAATTTTCAAGGAATTGATTAAACAAGAAAATAAAAAAGATCGTTTGATCATGAGAAAGATTAAATTTGTAGTATTAAATATAAGGCAGAGAGAATTGCCTAAAAACAAATGAAGGTGATAGCAAATTTTGTTCTCATTTAGGTGCAGGCAAGATTTTAAAAAGGATGCTATGTAGTATATAGCTTCATGGTGGTCTGTCACTAATATACTGCAGATAAATTATTTTTGGTCAAAATACTTCATAATCTAATTTCCACCAAAATATTCTTTAAGTAAAATATTAAATGCTTCAAACAATAAAAATTATAAGAAGTTTGATTAAAGCTAAGGCTCAAGTCTTGCATGTACTTCTTAACATATTTACACTTGTAAGCTATTAAAATCAACAGATCTGTTCATCCAAAATAGGCATAAACATGTTGCTGGTAATTCTACTTGGCAAATGGGAGATGAATGTGCTGCTTTCAAGCTTAAGGCTATCTGTACTGATTTTTGAGTCACTTTTCAAAAAGTTCTTGAACGGCCATGGTCTACAGAAAGTATTTTAGGGTCATCTCTTGTCATATTTTCTAAATATGCTGAACAAATCTTTAATAAATCAGAAGCTGATCAAGAAGTAGTCTATGCAGCAGATGTCATAAATATGATTTTGCACTTAAGAGTTTATTTATTTGTTTATTTATTAATTTTTTTAAAAAGTGGCACTTTTAATTACTTGTCAGTCATTTATGCTGTGTTCATATGCAGTATATGTTGTATGAACAATGTATAAATTCTCATATATCAAATGTAAGAAGAATTAGAATGCTTTTAAAGGATTCTCTTCTCTGAATTTTTTCTTAGCATGCATCATTTGAGAGTAGACAGACATCTATGAAGAGCACTTTTTAAATGGATTATTATGCCAGTTGGTGTTTATGAAAGTCTCTAGAGAGCCCCTTCTGTTGACATGCTATTTTTTTTTCTTTTTCTAATTAGCAATTGTAGAGTCATACTTGGATTTACCCTTTCATTGTCCATTTATTTTCAATGAAAATATTCTTCTAAAGAGATTCAAAGTAACAGAAGGAAGTAAATATGAGCAAAAAATCATGTGAGCCCTCATGAGCAATAGGTTAGAATTGCTGTGAATTACTGTGTCAGAGAATGAGAAATAAAGTGCAACGAGCTGGTAACTGAACAGCAGAACAGGCTTTCACCCTGTGCTGCAACACACAAACATCTGTATGGGTGAGGATATGGCCTGAATTTGACCTAAGGTAAAACAACATTGAGAGGTTCATATCTGGCTTATTGAAGGAATGATAATATGATCCGACAGTGCTCCAGATTCGTGGGCTCCCATGTATAGCCACTCTTTCCTTGTCAGTAATTTAGGGGGCAGATGTGGTGAAAATGTTAACCAGCTTTACAGAATCTCCTCTGAGGGTGGCCCGTGGTCTGCCCATAGCACCATCAGTGATTCCAGATCTACTTGTGGTGCTTTTAACACAAGGCTCAGCTTGTTTTCTTTTTCTATGCGTGTTTAACTATCCGAAAATTGAAAGTGGAAAGTAAAAGCAATAAATGCATGGATCATAGTTGACAAATTTGAAAAGCATCTCCATAGCGATGCAAGTATTCTACTTGAAAGTGTGGAGAAGAGTCTTTCTTCCTCTCTCCCACAGTGTATGCTAAGAAATACACTTTTCCTTACAAACCTTTGGTCAGGTCATAGTGGCAGTTTGTGTAGAATAAATACTTTTTCAGAGACTTGTAAAACTATCTGTCAGCATGTCTCAGAGTCTTTTCCTATCTCTTGTCTAATATGCAAGCATTGCACACAGTCAGGTATGCAAGCATTATGACAATTTTTAAAGCTGATTTTAGAAGACATTCTGCCTTTCTATATGGTGTTCCAACGAAGGAGGAGGTGTTTTAAATGCAAAGAAGTCAGTTTGAAGTCTAGCCCCTTCTTTTAGCTTACTAGTGAAAGATAGCAGAATTGGGTTTTGCACTTATTGCTTGGAAGTCCTGTGAAAATCTGTGATAGCATTTTCAAAAGCAAAAAGTGATTTATGAGTCCTAAATCAGTTCTAAAATTTTTATAAGTTGTGAATTATTTGAATGCCTTAGACATTAAATAGGTAGAAACATAGTTTGCCTTTTTGTATCCAAATACTGATTTCACCAGAGGTGCTTCCATGAGTATAGAGCAAATGCAATGTGCCCTACGATTTTTCTGTTATGTAAAACCACCAGACACAATGATGCCAAATGCAATTTGACTTGATAAATGTGTTCTGCAAAAACTTCATTTTTATGCTGTCATAATCTTCTCTCCTTCCCCTGTCTTCAGACCCTAATTTTTATCCCCTATTTCTTGTAGAGATGAGAGGTGCCCCCAGATCAACTGAAATTTTGGAAATGGCTGGAAATACCAATTGAAACAGCAGAGATCCTCAAGTTGCATCCACTAATAATTTCTGTTTTGTTCTTTAGTGCTAATGCTGGGTGTTGTTTTCCTGATACACAGGAGGCTATTCATAATATCCATTAATTGGCAAAATTTATTTCTGTGCATGTTCTTTACTATGTAGTTTGAAGTATCTGAATTCTTGAATATAACCTATTTTCTTTTTTTTTTTTTTTTTTTTTTTTTTTTTTTTTTTTTTTTTTTTTTTTTTTTTTTTTTTTTAACCTTCCTTTTCTAATTAGGTTGACAATTAATGCTGAATGCTATCTTCAGCTTCATAATTTTCCTATGGATGAACACTCCTGTCCTCTGGAGTTTTCAAGCTGTATGTGGTAGAACAATTTTTTGTCCTCTTTACATTCAGGCTTTAAATTTACTTGAATTTTGGCATCAAGAGAGAAAATGTTTACTTTTTAAAGCCTTGTGGCAAAAGAAAGAACTGACCATTCATGTTTTAACTAGATTTATTGCATTATTTAATACACTAATGAATGAGTTTAATCACATGTATTTTTTGCAACTTTAAAAATTGTCTTTTTGCTTAGGAGTCTAATACAGTGCCTATTCCAGTTAATGGAAATGCACTGTCCTAGAAAAACTTTGTTTTCTTATGCCTGCAAGACCTGACAACTTTGAATTAGTTCCATATGGTATACTTAAAAGGAAAAATAAGTTATGTCTTCTTCAACTTGCTCCTGTAAATGCTGAATCAGTACAATAAGTCCTTTTCCTTTCAATGGGACTTAGTTTATATGAGCAAAACCACAACCTTCAGGTTCTACTTTTGATGCAAACTATGTTAAAAAAAAATCCTAGGCAATTGTGCTATTGTAATCATACAATCATTAAGGTTGGAGAAAAACTCCAGTATCAAGTCCAACTGACTTGAACTTGTCCAGACTAAACACCAACTTCTCAGCTAAACCATAGAACGAAGTGCTGTGCCCAGTCGTTGTGCACTTTGTTTGCACAGTGTCTCTACGTCTAAGCTCTTTCTGATAATTTAACAAAAATATAATGACATTTATATTTTAATAGTGATGTTTCTGAGCCAGTTTTTTTTTACTGGAGTTCGAGAATGCCACTTAGATATTTTCTAAACATTTGTATTTACACAGTTTTTGATTGAGCTTACATTTACCTAGGCTTAAAATTGAGGCCATTTATTTTGTGGTTAAATTTTAAGTGTGTCAGAAGGACCAGGGATGGTCTCTGATGCACTGTATGTACACCTCTGATTTAGTTTATGAGTAACTTCAGAGATCAGAAAACATGTTTAGGTAAATTCTATGGCTGAATATTTGGTTTATTTTGTTTCATTCTAGATGGATATCCCAGAAATGAAATTGAATACAAATGGAAGAAAACATCTGTTGAAGTGGCAGATCCAAAATACTGGAGACTGTATCAGTTTGCATTTGTGGGGCTACGAAATACAACTGAAATTTCTCATACCTTGTCTGGTAAGGCAAAGTGTTGAGTTTTATTTTGTGCAATATCTATTTAGATCGAGACTAACAGTTGAAGTTACTACTGAAAGCCATATTAGATGTCATATAAATATTTTTTATTATTTTTCTTAATTCTTTAGGTGATTATATTATTATGACAATATTCTTTGATCTCAGCAGACGTATGGGATATTTTACTATTCAGACATACATTCCTTGTATACTCACAGTTGTTCTTTCATGGGTGTCATTTTGGATCAATAAGGATGCAGTTCCTGCAAGGACTTCTCTGGGTAAGTGTCTTTTTTCAGCCTTGAATAATCTGGTACTCTCAAGGAATACAAATGTGCAGCAGGGAGTAAATTAACCACAGTTTATTCCCCTTCAGATTGTGATGATTGGTCATTTTCTCTCCTGAACTGCAACACTGGGAGTAGGAGAATCCTGTTGTAGTTGCACGGCAGTTTAAGGAAGAAATGCTGAGCATGGAAATCCTGAAGTCTTGTGGGTCTGCTCTTGTTCACATAAATACATTTTTATTTCTGTATGGTGTTTTTTATCATCTCCAGGGACTGTCATGTGGCTGTTGTTAGAGACTTAGCATCATGGAACAAATGAAGTCATTACTACATGACTGAAAATGGAGAAAATCTGGTTCAGTTTTTTTGGTTGGGTTTTTGTGTTGTTGACATTGTTTTTTTTTGGTTGGTTTGTGCTTGTTTGTTTTTGTTTGGGGGGTTGTTTGTTTGTCTTTTTTTTAGGAGAATGATTCAATTATTATTTAATACCCAGGATATGACATAAAATTTGCAACCAAATTTGCACTTCAAGAAGTTAAGCCTATAATTCACAAAATCTCCTGTTTTTATTACAGACAGTACTGAAGTGGGTTGCAAGTTCTAATACAAAGATTCTGTGTTAGATTCTGTGTCCTAATACAAATTCTGTGTTAGTGTCATCTTGGCTGACCTGTTTAGCATGGCGTCAGTCTGCTGTTTGACTGTTTAGGATTCATGTGCTGCCTTGGAGGAAAGTTGTAGTCCCCACATGAAGCCTGATAAACAGGTACACGGAGTGCACAGGACACAGCTTTGAGCTTAGCAGGGACAGAGGCTTATAGAAGAACTAGTGAGAGCAGTCTGACCTATTCTGGGGGAAAGGTCAAGAGCTGAGAGTTGTATCTTAGGAGGTTAGAGATGTGAGTTAATTTTCCTCATCAGTTGTATTGTTCCCACCCTACACCATTCCCATCCTACAAGATCGTTTGCTACTAGAAGCATGAGCCCATAATTTAGCTCCCTGCCTTTCCCACTGCACTTGTACCACCAGCAAGCCTGCCAGATTTATGAGTTAAGAGAGAAGGTAAGCAAGAATGAGCATGGCTCAGTATCCTAATGAAAAGGTAAGGGAAGAAAATCTCAGTCTTGGACCCTAACTTTATATTATTTGAAAGTGCTGCAAAATTTAGTGAAGAGAGTCTGAAATTTCAAATAAATAAGTGAAAATTACTTTTGATAGTTTTAGACCTTGATGCAGAAATGTCATCAGATTTCTGTGACTGAGTAATCATTGAACATCATTGTGGATTCCATTGTTTTGGTTTGTTGCTTTTGTTTTTAAGAAACTTGTGCATGTAAATAACAATTTATTTGTGTATTCAAGTATTGCTTTTCAAGCAAAAGGTCACACTTTAATTTTGGACTACTATGTAAATGGATTTGCATCTCCCTGAAGCATCAAATAGAAGAAGAAAATGTTAACACCTTATAAATGCTAAACTAATGAAAAGTGGTATAGTTGAGATTTTGAACACATGGCTATTAAGGCAAATTTGTTCTTTTAATTAGCTTGTATGTAAGTGAATCAAAGAAAACATTTTCTATTACTTAAGATACAGGGTTGAGAGCGTATCTGGTAACTTAGACAATGAGACCAGAAAGCTGTGAATGTCATCAAATTTGATCTTCTACATCTTCTTCAGAAGCAGACAGTTTGAAACACTATTCATTTTTCTTTTGTTTACCAAAAGCTTGCAATCATTGATAAATAATACACCTTTTATTTCTGAATGCATCATTCTTAACATTTTAATCATTTGAGCAAAGGGCCTTCCTTGTGCTTATAAAATTTTTGTGCATACTTGTGCCTGTTTTTCTACTGTATTTATGTGTAAGTTTAATGTCAGATTTATAAAATTTCACAAACTTAGTGTCATTGTTTGTTCAGTGTGTGTTGAAAATAGGTGGGATTTAAAGAGAAGGTGAAATGTGCTGCTTTCTCTATGATTCCATGGAGATCCATAGGGATGGATCCTTGCCATAGCATCAATGTACGTGGATGTAATCAGTAGTGAACCCACTGACCCCTCCTGTGGGTCAGTCCTTATATGACTCATCGATTAATTAAGAGCTAATATGATTACCTTTTTTGGTCACAATATGATTTGATTACCTATACATTTCCCTCTTTCTTTCTTTTTTTTTTTTTTTTACAGGGATCACAACAGTGCTGACCATGACAACGCTGAGTACAATTGCTAGGAAGTCACTCCCAAAGGTTTCCTATGTGACAGCAATGGACCTTTTTGTTTCAGTTTGCTTTATTTTTGTGTTTGCTGCCTTGATGGAATATGGCACCTTACATTACTTTACCAGCAACAGAAAAGGGGACAAAGGAAAAGAAAAGAAGGCAAAATCTAAGCCATCAGTAAGTTTAGTCAAACAAACAAACAAAAGAAATAGAGTGGTTTTTATTGTAGCATTCATTTTGAATGACTGCCTCTTAAGCAGAAAAGCTAATGTTCAAAGATAATTAGCACTAATATTTCTTTTTTCGTTTTTTCTGCAGTTGGGAGCTTGTACTAATTTTGTTTAAATACAAGTAGTGAGCAAAGGGTTTAGATGATTTCACATATATGAATGAGGACACATGAGCCTAAGGTGGAGAGTGGGTTGATATAATATTCCATGTCCTTGGTGCTTCTAGAACTGCCCATGAAGTGTGTGCCCGTGGAGATGGTTCTGTAGGGGCACAGTGCTTCTGAAAACAGCACCTGGCAGAGAACCACAGCTAAAACTGTAGCAGTAAAGATAATGTGCATGGATTGAAGGTATGAGGATTTCTTTGGATCTGCATCATCTTACAAAACTTTGCAAAGGAAAAAATGCTTATTATTGGCCAGTATTCTGCATCTCACTACAGAAATTCTATCTTAACTCTTTTCTAAATTGGCTTCCGTGTTTCTTTCTGGTTAAATTAACCTTCTGCTTTTACAAGTTGATTTTTTTATGGTAAACCTCCACACATCTCAGGATCAAGTATTATTCAATTTTAAGAGTCTTTTTGTTTGTGTAGTAAGAATACTGCAATTTCCAATGAATTTATTGTTGGAGGTCAGTACAAATATTTAAAGGTAGTGTGTAAAGTAAGAAAATATTGGAGAAAATAAGAAAAAGGAAAATGTTATAAAGCCCCTTTCCAAATCATCTCATCAATATATGCAGGAGCATACCCAAACCATAATACCAGTTGCCTTTCTGGTTGAAGGCTGTATACCAGCTCTGTATGAGGTGGAACAGAAATTGATATGAAATTACAGAAGTAATTGCAGTTATGGAAGTGCAGAAATCCTGTTATGAACCATATCCATTCTGCAACTCATCTTAGCAAGAACCAGTGCACCCATTCTGAGCAGCACTGCTGTGGGCCTCTCTCTTACGGGGGCACAGTGAGGCTGTTGGGGTTTGATTCCAGGAAAAGGAGAACCCTTAGGATTCACCTGGTGAGCTTCTCCAAAGGGATCAGCTGTGCATTTAGGACAAAGCTAGTGAAGTGTTAAATACTTCCCTGTGGTGCCTTGGTCAGACATCACTGTGACCAAGACTCTCTGACTCAGAGAATCCTGCACAGTCAGGAAAACTGGAAAATGGAGAGCTCAGACCTTCTTCCTGTTAGTGGTAGAAACAAATGTGGGCATGACAGAAGGGGCACAATGCAGGCTTTGCAAGGGGACACCTGAGTTATGGGGGTAAAAGGTAACAAGGATGTAGGGGAATCCCAGTGTCAGCACAGCAGATTGAATTTCAGGTTGCTGCTGCAACGAGTTCTCAACAATGCTTGGTGAGCAGGGTGCTGATAGATCTGCTCTTGGCATGCACAGCCCAGAGAAGGCAAAGATATCAGGATGTACTGCTGTATTCAAACCAGGCAGATATTAAAGATCAGCTGCTGACAACTCAAAAGACACTGAAGTAGTTTGCAAGTATGCTCTATTGAATGAAATAATGCCACTTTGTAGAATGTGTTCACACATCACCCATATGTGCAATAATCTGCCAAGTGCTTTGAGATTTTCAGTGCATATGAAAATTTTAAATGCAGAATAATTATGAGATAGAAACTATGAAACTTACTGAATAAATAGTTGGAATTTGCACTAAGATTAAAATTAGCAATCTAATACTAAAATAATGTTTATTTGTGTTTTACTGGGTTATTAAACAATACTTTTTATTTTAAGAAGTTGAAAAAAGAAGTCTTTTTGCACAGAATCCTTTAAACACATTACAGCTAAAAGATCATACAAAGAAAGAGACTGCACAAAGAAAAGGGAGAATTAAATTTAATATACTTAGATGCAAGGATTCTAATTTCAAAACAGTTTTCCTGGTGATGTTTTATGAAAAGCTGTGACTTTTCTTGCTCCAAATAAATAAAGAAGGCATCGAGAAGTCATACCATTACAAATCCTTTTCTTCTTTTTCTTTTTTTTTTCTTTTCTTCTTTCCCTTTATTTTTGTCACAGACTTCGATTAATTCTTTTTTCTTGTAGTTAAGGATATGCAACTCAAAAAAACAGTTGCATTTTAAAATTCAGTTTAATTTCTTCTGAAAACTCATTTACAAGTGATTTTTTCCTTGGGAAACTTGCCTTGCATAGATCTATTTCTACTGCAAAATGCAATGAATGGGTTACTATTCCAGAAACTGATGCCAGTAAGCCACAATAAATGATCTTGTGGAAAAAACTGGCAAGATTTTGCAAGTGATATACAGCAGTTTTATCTTAGAAAATATGTGCTGGCATCATTCAAGAAAGGTAGTATGAATTGGCTTATGCAAATCCACATTAGTAAGGATAATGAGTTTAGGCAGGAAAGATTAAACTTAATTAGTTGTGGATCTTGTTCTGATCATCATTTCACCTGAAATGAATGTATCACCTGTGCCATGATCTCCACAGACAAAGACTTTCTTTTGTACTTGTATTAGTGTTATTGCAGAATAATTGGGTTTGATCCTATCAGAGTGTATTATAAATGATCTCACAACACATGCTGTTTTATCTACAATTTCAGTAGGCATATCCATAAAAAATCAGCATGTACTTCTGTATCTACATGTTGTGGGTGTTTTATTGTTTTGTTTTCGTTCTTTTTTTTCCATTTCTGCCAATTTATATAAAGGCATTTTCTTGTGAGGTGTTGGTCTTTTTTCCTCTTTTCCCTCACATTGCCTCTTACACACATTTTATGTATTTTCTGTAGGTAGTTAAGCCCACAGGATGACTGTGTCTGCCTCTCTCCAGCCACCTCTTCAAACTTGTAATTCAGTAGCTACCTCCAGTCTGTGCTGGTTATGTGAACAGTGGAAAGCCTCCAGTCTGTGCTGGTTATGTGAACAGTGGAAAGCAGTACTATAATTTTTTCCTTCTCCCATGATGTTTCTGTGTGGAGGATTCCTGTTTTACCCCACTAGTAGAAACAACCCATGCCATAAATCTTACATGGGTCAAACCAAAAGTGAGGAAATTTTTGTAAAAGCAGCATAGGTGTGAATCAGAAATAGCCATCTTTCCCTGTTTATCTTCAGCAGAATAAAGACTTTTTCTTAATTTCAAAAAATAAATGAACTTACTTTTCATGTTTTATAAAAACAAGCTCTCTTTGCAATGCCTCAAATTAGGATAGAAGCATGTAACTCCTGTTTCTTAGTATTGTCAGGATTTTATCATAACTGAGAAGAATAATGAGGTCCTTCAGGATGATAATTAGCTCCCTAAGTCATCATGTATAATAAGTTTTGAAACAGCAGTCTGTGTGAAACTTTCTCTGGTAGAGACACTTATTAAATAAAGCTATTTGAAAACATGGTGGATATTGCACTACATTAACACCATGCCTTGGGATATTGGGTAAAAGGTCTCTGAAGCAAAAGAATGTCACCTTAACAATGTATAGGGGTCTGTGTACTGGCCAAAGTAATTCCCAGGAAGTGGGACAAGAGGACTTTAAAGCATAACAAGAAACTAGATGCTGGCTTCACACTTTCCATATTTTTTTCATGTGTTTTCATTGTCTATCATACATAATTGGTTAATATTAGATTTTCTTACTGCTTCCTTTCCTGCTGTTTTCGCCCTTACAAGAAAAAATATGAAGAGTATAGAAAAGAGAGAACACAATATAAGAGTAGAGTTAATGTAACCTTTCTCTTTGGTCTGACGATCTTAGAAGAGATGCCAAATGTGGGATGGGGTTGAGTACGTTGGAAGAGGATTATGGAATAGTTTAAGACAGCTGTGAGATTTAGAAAGAGAAGATAAAGGACAGATGAAAAAAGAGGGTATATTTTGAAACAATCAGGAAAACAAGAATGATGAATATAAAACTGGAGAAACAAAGAAGTAAAAGGGGAAAAGGTGGGTTGTGTTAGTGTAAGTAAAAGGAAGGTGGAAACACAAAAGTCACAAGTAAGGGAATAGCAGGCACTATATATACTAGGCAATAAGCCACCCAGATTTTTTTGAGAATAATAACATATTACACTGAGTTTTTATCAGATACAAGAAGGTTGTTATGCCCACAGAAAGTGAAAGTAAGAATTAAGCACTAAATTTATCAGTGACTTGAGTGGCCTTCCCCTAAGGAGTTGTGTCTTGGATTCTAAAGAGAGGGTGTATTATATAGGGATTTAACATCTGAGAGTTAGATGTCGTAGCCTGGCCATACATGTCTAAATCTGTTAAACTTCACCAGTGATGCTGTGCTAGACCCATTAGCCTTCTTATTATTGTGTAAATGTAGCTTCGAGAAACACATCTAGTCTCCTAAAGGCTCCAAAACATGGGGGGACCATCCTTCCTTTGTTAGTGGTGTTTACAGCCTGCTTGTGGACTTGGTTGTGACCCAGTTGTCAAGAAGTGACTGACTTCAAAATGTTTGTCTGTGTTGTGTAGATGGGATCAGCTAACCCTGTCTGTGTAACTAATTATCTACTATTCCCAAATCCCAGCACAACCCAATTTTCACTGTGGCAGGTGAAAGTAGTTCATGATCTATTGCTTGCATGGGCTAATTACACGCGGTTCATAATTTTCTAAGCTTTCCAAACTGTTTTCTTTAATATAAGAATTTCTCTATTTTGTGCTGAAGGTGATTATATTGCCAGGGAAAGCCTATGGAATTATTTAATATGAGGATTAAAACACACAAAACTATATTTTCTTTCTTATTTTTTTTTTTTAAGAAACCACCTGCAATTGCTGTTCGACCTGGATCAACACTAATTCCAATTAATAACATTAATCATCTCCCTGAACGTGATGATGATTATGGATATGAGTGCCTAGAAGGAAAAGACTGTGCTAGTTTCTTTTGTTGTTTTGAAGACTGCCGCACAGGATCTTGGCGAGAAGGAAGAATACACATCCGTATAGCAAAAATTGACTCCTATTCTCGAATCTTCTTTCCAACTGCCTTTGCATTGTTCAATCTTGTTTACTGGATTGGCTATCTTTATCTGTAAATTTCATAGGTTTGACAAACTCAGAAAAAAGTACTAATTGAATAGTCATTAATATTTTAACTGAGCAAAGATTAGAGCTGGTCCAAAATACTCAAATTTTTTGTATGCTTTAAAAATTTGAAACAATAAGAGGAAATATGATGATGTAGTCTCCCTCTTGTGATCAGCTGTAGAACTGATACTGGTATTTTTGAAGAGAACATTTTAAAATAAATACCCCTAAGATTTATCATTCTTGAACACGCATATATACATTTTTTTCCAGCTCTAAGAAAATACAAAATCAGAGGCTATGCTATTTAACTGAACTATCCTACATAAGCTCTCAATTTTAATTCTAAATGACAATGCAGAAGGATTTTGTAGCATCTCTTACACCTTTACAAAGAAAGCCTTAATTAAATGGGATTAGTTACTCTCATCCATTTCATCCTTAAGGTGATGATTTTATTAATCCCTAATTTTGAAAAGTTGAAATGTAACATTTCTCTTTTCAGCCATTTGTTCTCTCCAGTATGTTAAAAAAGTGTGATTAGATGGTAATTAATCAATTCAGATTTATACAGAATGCAGATATAAGACCAGCAAGGAATGGATATATCAAAACACCCAAGGATAATTCTGAGCTTGTCTTATTCTGACCATGTATAGAGACTTTTGGCTTTCAACCTTAGATTACATTTTTATCTGTGCTCCATTTTCTGTTACTTCATTGTTGTGAGTTCCCAAAAGTTGTCCAAGAGGTCTACAACTTTCAGAAATTTTTATCCAGCTGCCATTGCCTGCTCATTTAATAGAAAACAGATGTGTTGGCTCAGATTCTGGCCATTAAGCATAATGATCTTCACATACTCAGTGTTGGAGAAAAAGTCATAACCCTGCATTTGAAAGAATTTGTATCAGCAGAATTTGGAAGACCTGTAACAGTGCTGTATTCATTGTACTCATATCACTGTGTTAAAGCCCCAGTCCTAAGAGTGCGGTGTGTGGTCTGCTCCCCTTTGCACACAGCATGGTTTTGTAGATCTGGTTTGTTACTGCACATGCCTCTCACTGAGCCAAAGCCAAGGATTAAGGTATTGAATGTGTGGTATGGATTGCTGGGCAATTACCTTCTTGATGTTTGTTTGTTTCTACTGGAAAAGATGTGTTATGGAGGGGGAGTTAAAGTAATCCTTATGCATTGATGAATCTTCTCCAAGATGGGATATGTCCCCCCAAAATCATAGGAGCAGTTCTCCATCCCTTCTGTGGTGAGAGCTTTGGTAGAAATTCTTCAGTAGTAGTCTTTCTGAATTGACCTCTTGGTGTTGACTATTTCTGCCTGGCAGCATTTGATATCTAATTTCTATTTCTAAACCCATTGTCTTCATTATGGAAAAGTGCAGTCTTTTCCCCTTTCTTAAAAAGAAACTGGTCGGTCTCAAGTGAGCTTGCAAAAATCACTGTAAAATTAATATATGCATTAAGTAAAAGTTGGCATTACACAGAAGACCTTACAGATTTTAAAGAGGATTAATGGGATTAGTATTTGGCTGTAGGTAAGGATATTCAGTACTAAAGATAAAGACATGATTAATAGCTAAGAATAGAAAATGTTACATTAAGGGCTCCCCCTTTTCCCCCCAATATTTCTGTTGAATATGCTCCCACCTCTGAATTTCTCAGAAAGAATGACTATATTTATAGTCTAGTTGGTACCAGGTATAGTAAGATATGATATACAATACACATTTCAAAGGAAATGTTATTCCAGTGTTGAGCCCTGAAGTTTAATAGAGAATGTGCAGTTGTAGTGGAAGTGTGACAGAAATCCAATTTTAATGAAAACTTTATTTCAGTATTTAGCTGATGAAATATAGGAGTTCTTGAGAGCAGAAAGCCCAGATGATGAGTATGGCTGGCATTATTTGTGATATGACCTTTCTGAGTACCAGCTCTTCTGACTGTTGGACGGAATATAGAAGTGCAGTACCATTAACACTGATCTGCTATAATTTATTGGCTTTTTAGAGTCTCAATTTCATAAAATGTTCAGTCCAAAAGAAACATGTCAGTTTTTATTCCATAATGTAGGTTGATGCTTTCTGACAGCATGCTGAACATTCCTCTGTAGGAGGGATGAAGGTGGCTTCAGCAGTACATTGGATATGTGCTTGAAAAGCAGTCAGCTTGCTGAACAGTGCAAGGCACAGATTTAGTGAGTTCCTGAGTTTCATTAATTCACCTTTAAACAAAGGAAACTTAAAATAATTTGGCACCTCACAAGAGGAAATACAAATTTCACAGCCTGCTCTCCTCTGGCTCATCTAGTTAGCTTTTTCTATTCATGTGGTTGTCAGTTGCCAATCAGTCTCCAGTGACTGAATTGGAGAAGAGAAAACATTCAAAATTGGCAAGGGATGGATAAGAAGTCTTTCATCTCTAATTTCTATGGAACAATGTAATGGAGTATTAAACCTATTGAGTGTTATGGCTGTTTGGCTTATGGATACACTTGCTTCTGTCTGTTGACAAACTTTTCTGTGTACTTCATTTGCTTCTGATGAAATAATTTTAGTTTCTCATAGTACTGGGAGTGCAAATAGGAATACGATTGCAGTGAACTATATCATGGCATGTAATAAGTGGATTATTTTAGTCCTATGATTTTTTTTCTAATTTGCATGTAAACACTTGGTTACAAGAAATCTAAGTGATACTTTTTTAAATGACAAAAACCAGACAGTATAATTGAATGGAGTTAGATGCTGCGATCATTTTTCAAACTTACCTAGATAAAAAGTTTGCTTACTCCTAGCTGGGATCACATTTTTTGGGAGTCATATTATGCTGACCATTACTGCATAAGCACACACTTAAACATATTCCTAATTACTACTGTTACTAAACCAGAACTCAGAAAAGGGTGTTCTTATGTACTGTCATAAAGAGTGATGCTATCATGAATCAATGCCATTAACACATGCTTAATTTGCACTAATTTCAATAATGAGTGTTCAGTAGTTCAAATAATTGAACATTAAGGATGTGAGCCAGAGCCTTTTCAATAAGAGATTTTCTCATTGAAAAAGAGGGACGTAAGAGGAGAAATTGCTGTAAAGGCAGAGAGGGGCAAAAATTCTGGGAAAACTCTTTTATACTGCACCTATCTTTGGCTTCTCTTGAAATGTATTTTTCAAAAAAGAGACTTTTCCTTGATATTTCTGTATTAGTGTTTACCAGTTGTCTGTTTTAGTAGTGAATACAGATCAGTGTGTTATTTTTTGGTAAGGTTCTGTCTATGATTGTACCCCACTGATCTTTAGTGCATGTCTTCTGTGTCTGAATAAATCTGTTTTATGTAGTGGCAGTGCGACCAAAGCATGAACTCTGGGTAATGTATTTTATATTCACATGTTGATGTGTTTCAAAGACTTTAACCTTATCCAATTTTCTGTTATTCAGAGATATAGGATTGTGTAAGTCTTTGAAAGAGAATCACCTTCAACAGTATTTTTATAACTTTCTCTTCTTTATTTGGTATGGTAGTAGAACATTTGTTTAAAATTGATATATGAACTGTGTTTTGTAATTTGCAAACACCTTACAATTGAAAGTGAACAGGAGGAGTCTGGATTTAAATATCTATCTGCCTAAAGTAAGATATGTTAGATTTAATTGTATCAGTCATAATTTCTGTCTACTGTTTCCAAATAGCTGAGAACTAGTGCAAATAGCAAATACATTTTTCTGTTAGTATAAATATTTTTGTAGAATTCATTGTAGTTTCTCTCAGTTGTATGTTAAATGTGATCTTTCATGTATATGAAATAATACTGCATTTTTTAGTCATTATAATAGATGGAAAAGATAGAAACTAATGGGGAATTCCACATCTGAAAAATAAAAAGCCAGGAATCAGAAATAATTACTGTGCTTCTGTTCCTAAAAAAGCTCAGTGGATGTCCACATGCCTCATGAATGTGCTTCAGGAGGAGACTGACTCACAGGAAGTGGTAGAATAGTGTCCAGACTGTAGAAAAGGCTTTTGCATTGGTTCATGCCATGGATTTCCTACAAAAATGATTCAAGTGGAGGAAAGGAATAGATCTGTCCTCGTTTTTTCAGTGATCTCTTGTTTTTGCTTAATTTCAGTCAGCAACAGCAATTCTAATGCTCTGTTGTCAGATGAAACAAAATGTGAAAAATTATCTTTACTTTACTCTTAGTTAGAGTTAGTATTTCCCACAGGTGGGTAGGATCATCTAACTGAACACACAAGATTATGACCAAGTTTTTCTCTAAGACAGGTGGCGGGAGTTTGCATCTGGAGGCTGAAGGATGGCTTGTTGTGATGGGCATTTTTCATTCAGTTGAGAACCTGCACTGAAAACTGGTGGGAGGAAAGGAAACAATGGTATGAGGGAAAGATTGATGGTGGCAGTGATCCTAGAATCAAGTTACATGTATCTGAATGACTTATATTTAGTTCATAGGTTTCTCAGTGGTATTTGTGATAATGCCCTTGATTTCCTTGCAATATAATTAAATATTTATAATGTTTTAAATAAAAAGGAAAATATTGTATTTCCTATGCAGTAACTACAGACTGAATGAGCAATAGAATATTATCTTGAATATTCTGGTGAAATGTTGAACAGAAAATAGAGATCAGGTTGAATGAGAAAAATCTTTTTTTTAAATCTTCATGTATTATTAGATGTAAAAGCATTTTTTAAATTACTGATTATTAATTAGTGCAGTAGGCACTGGGAAAGGCCTAGTACCCAATCTAAATTGCTATTAATCCCCTCAAGGGCTAAAATATTTGGGAATAGAAACTTGGCTCAGACTGCACTCAGTTATCATCCCCTATTTCCATCAGGAATTGAGAAAGATGAATTGTGATTATGCCAAACATAAACTAGATAGCTGGGATGCTCCAGGGAGGTTGGTTTCTGGTTAAAAGGAAGGGTCATTTCTGCCTGAGACTGTCACAGTTATTTTTTGGATGTTATGATACTAGTGAAAAGGCAGCAAATAAACTTTTGATTTTACTTACTGGTAAACCTCACTGAGAAAGCCAGAGAGCTTTAGCAGAAATCTCAAATTACTCTTGGAGACAGGAGATTGGCTAAAACTGAAGCAGACCAAATGATACAGCCCTTTCTACCTTAGCTGGGTCCTGTTCACCAGTAATAGGCTGATTCTGAAAAAAAACTGTGACAGTGTCATGGTATTTTAAGGAAAAAAAGTCTGTAAAATTCTTATTCCTCTTGTCTGTGACTAATTTTGCTCTGCCTGCAGACTGTGCTTTTGGCACGTCAGTCTCACTTTAACTGTGTGAGGAGAGCCATGGGGGATGTAGGACAGAAAACCTGTAAACTGTTCTACCTTGTTCTTTCTCAGTTCCTTTTCTTAGTCAAGAAAAGATGTTCAGAAGGGTAGGCGTATGGCATGTGCAAATGAGGACAATTTTTCTACTGACAGCAGGGCCTGAGTCCCACTGACAGGATCAAGAGGGATGAGACTCTGCTCACAGTAATAAGGCTTCTCTTTTGTAATTCTTTGTAGTACCTACTTTTCAATACATCACTGCAGGCCTACCTGAGATTCAAAATATTTTTTGGGTTGGAAGTAATTATTTTGTGTGTTTCTGGTAACACACAGTAATGCTCTGTGTGTTTCATACAATGTCTTTATCATCAGGGTTTGAGCATTGCTGAATTCAGAAGGAAAAGTTTCCTCTTGAAGTTTCCTTGTCCAGGCATTACAGGTAGGAGATGTCTTCCTGCCAAACATTGGAAAAGTGATTTTCAGTTGATCCTGCTAAGGAGGCAGACTGGCTCTCTGGGGTGGCGTTAGGATTCCTACGTCATTTAGACCTGAGAAGGTTGAAGGAGTTTAAAGGCAGCACTGTTAATGACCAGCACTGCCTCTACAGAGGATGCATTACTTTTGCCAATTTGATATTTAAAAACAAAATCCAAAACTGTTGCCGTGGGTGGAAAATGAGGATGAGTCATCATTTAACTACAGATATATATTTCCCCTTGAATTGTTTTTCTTCCTTAGGAAGATGGTATATAGGAGTCTTTTGGCTTGTGAAATAATTCAGAAAAGAGGTGATGACCACTTTAAACACTGAAGTCATGTTAGTCCATCTGCCAACGATGGTCTAAGAGCAGTAGAAAAGAAAGAACTTGCCCTATAGTTCAGATTTCCCAAGAAGGATAAATATGGAAATTTGCATATTCATAGGCCCAGTATTAATATATAATCTGTGTTCACACTTAAGTCACCGAAAAAAATCCTAATGGTTTGTGAGTATTCACAGTATCTTTTGTATTTCCCACTGTTGCCCACTACAAACACTTGGACTCTTTGTCTGAACATGAAGAGTTGTGTTGTGATACCTTTACTTACATTTTAAATTGCTATAGATTATGCTTCAGAATCTGGTAGTCTCATGGTGATTTCTATATTTTAAAAAATGAATATTTTTACTTAATTTATCCAAGCATAATACTGCTATAATTTTTATTTCCCTGCATGAAAGTTTCACAAACAATTGCAGTTTATGGTCTGATAACATTTGTTGATTTATGATATGTCTCAGTATTTACCATATTGAGGGTCCAGTATTCAAATGCATGACAATCCAAATATCTGTCTTGCCATCTATAGTTCACATAATGTTTCAGTTACTCAGGCTTCGCTTCTTACTAGTACATCCTTGGTTTTTATTCAATATTTTAAAAAAATGATGATATTTTTAACTACCTAAGTGAATATTTATACTATGCATTTAATTTGATAGCATTTTGGCACCAATGGACAATGTTGCAATATTATGCATCAGTGTTCCTTTTAAAGTTATTTATTAATGCCCTTGTGGATAACTTATTTTAAGAAATATGGAATATAAGATTAATGCTGTAATTCTCTGTGCTGCTTCTAAAGTTTATATATAAAGTATGTGATACTGAAGCAAATTTATTCTTCCATTAGAGTTTTCCTTCCAAAAATATCCTTAGTTGGGGTATTATTTTTATTTTTATTATCATTGCTATTATTTTTATTATTATGGTGATATTTACAGTTCTATTTAGTTATTTGGCACTTTTCCAGTAGTTTTGGAATGTATTCATCCATTATTATATTCAATTACCTGGAAACATCAAGGCATCCTCACAGTCTTTCAATGTGATTAAGCCATGACTTCTTCAGCCTCTCTTAAAATGCCATAATCTTTTGTGTGCAATACCAAAATGAAAGCATTTTCAGGTATTAAATTGAGTTTTACTTGCTTTTCAGTTTTGAAAAAGTCTGTCTGCTGGGTTATAATGAAACACTGATATAATATTTTTTATATTTGACAATACTATTAATGAGCATGGCTGAACCAGAAGACTTCAGAGGTGATAAGCAGATGATGCTCTTGGCTAAATCCCATGTACAGCTACAATGGGCATTACAGAAATTACAATGGCAATGGCAACAATATATATATATATATATATATTTATATATATATATATATATATGTAGACTGGAAAGCAAGATATAAGAACGTATACATCAGTTTCTGATTGTCATTTTAACAAGCTTCCTCCTGCCAATAAAATTTATGTTCTAAATGTGACCAAAAAGGTCAAAAAAAACCCCACTTAAGATTTGTGCATTTGGAACGTAGGAGTAGTTCAGAAGCTTAAAATAATTACAGGTTTTTGTTTGATGGGTCTTGTGGATTAAATTTTTAATTTTACTCCTTTTTACTGAAGAAGAAAGAGAGAAGAGATGGGCAATGGTATCAGTAAAGGTAAATATGAAAATACCATCTAGGTGAATAGTAGATTTTCTACATATTTGGAGCAGATATGGAGCAAATTTCCTCATTTACTTCTGCATTTGCAGAATAGATGGATTCTGCTATCTGTTTTCAGAACTCTGCTGATATCATGGTAAAAGATTGACTCAGAATTTTTTTTTTTTAGTATACTCTTAGATTTTGGATGCCTTATTTTCTGATGTGCAGTTTAAGACATGAAAGAAAAAAAAATTCTTTTCAGAAGTTTAGCCCTTTCTAAAAATTATCCCTTGAGCATTCAGCTTCAAGTACTTCAAAAATAGTAACTAGGCATCACTGAGTGTTTGAAATAAATTAGATTGCTATAGAATAGTGCAGAAAGTTCAATTATGGTTCAAGGCTAGAATTTTGTAGCCTTTGGGGGAATTTTCTTTCTTTTTTTTTTTAAATTTTGTTGACATGTGGGGAGATGTGAAAGCAAAGAGACAGATTTCATCCTATGGTTGCTTGGTTTTCTTTTGTTTTCAGCAGCATAGCTCATGCAGTATCGCTGCTGCTAAAAGCTGATTTTATGGAAGTGCAAATGAGACTTTTAGACTGGTAAAAAGAACACTAATAACAAGCTCAGAAAGGAGGTGTTTATGGCCCTCTATCAGAAGGGGCTTGGAGACACAAGGCTTTGGAAACAGAAATTCTGAAGTAATGTTATGAGAAAGAGTTGGATTATAAGGACCTCTAGAGAAAAAAAATATCAGAAACCTTTTATCAGAAGACTAACAGTGGTTTGAAGGATAGGTTTTATGGTTCATAACTCTACCGTGAATGTTAATGTCTATTGAATTGTCATATAAATGTTGCACTAGTCCTTGTGCATTGAAAGGAAATGTGCTTGCACCCTGGTGCATGGTTCATACAGATGTTACTGCAATGTAATCTGTAATCTTCTAAATGTAAAATTCTGAAAGCCATAGTCTTAAAAAAAATAAATTTATGCCCCACCATTGAATAACGTGTTCTGTGCAAAATTAATAGATGTTTGTATTCTAATGTCTCTTAAATTGATAAGAATCAAGAGAGTTTCAACACTGAATTTTGTGAAGCAGTTGTAATGCACT